TATTTTTTCATTCTTTTAAATTTTAACCGTTAAGCTTAAGCGCTTACTGTTTCCAGTTTCCTCCCGCGCGTTTTGCACCATGTGATGGCCCATGCATCGCACGTGAGGCTTAGCTAGGAGATATGAGTGACTTGTCTTCATCTGTGTTCTTCATCCAAAACAAAAACAGCAATCAAGCAAATTCAGTTTTCTTTTACCGAATAATTGGCATGAGATGAGTTGTTAATGTTAACCTTTGTAATTATGAATTCCTTTTTGCCAACCAAGGCGGGGAAAAAAGCATAAATTATGGATCTTATTACAGTAAATATAAATAAAAAAAAGGGACTAGAGGGGGTTTGAAGAAAAGAAATGTTGGGGCAAAATACAAAGCTAGAAACCAAATATAGAAAATTGTGTAAATATATTTTATTGACAATTTGACCCTATGGAGTAGAACATATTGAATGCCAGTTGAATACAAGAATAGCTAATTTATACATCTGAATAATAAACAGCATCAACCTTAAAACTTGCATCTGAAGGGGGAACGAGGGGACAGGACAGCCATCCTAGGTAAACAACTTGCCCTTAAACAGATATATCTAGCTAAGCCCCATCCCTCTCCCCTTTGCACAAAGCCACAAAGACCATGCATATAAAAGGTTAAGAGTTCTATCTTCTACGCTGTTTTAGACTTTGAAATACCTTTGGCAGGCAAGTTCTGATTCTGATTGCTGTCTCACCACCGGTTATCCACAGCAATGGATCTTTAGCTTTAACTTGCCAACATGATGTGGCCGATCCCTATTGACAACTATGAAATATAATTCCTATTTGTTCATTCCTGAAACATAACATTCATGATAGAAATATATTAGTATACTACGACTTGTAGTTTCCCATGCTAGTCAGTAGGACCTTTTTCACTCAGTTTGGGCGAAAGGTCAAGGACAAGAGAGGTAGGACGGATTGGGGTGCCTAAAGACAAGCTTCAATACCATAATCAGGTTTTCGATGTACCTTGGGAGGAGTGCTTGATGAATTGGAGCCTGATTCCGGTGTTGTCTCAGATATACGTGATTCTGATTTCTCGTTAGAGTAACTAGCAGCACAAATTAGACAAGTGTGAGACTATAGAAACACTTGAAACAAATATAACACGTATACGAGAAAAGCTATTCATCGGAAGAAACCACTAACTAACTACCAAGGATCTGTATCACATTGTGTAACATGCTAATAAGTAATAGGGACACCACATGAACAAGAAAGAAACATCTTGCAATATACCAGACCAAGACGAAAAGGATAAACGCTAAGAGGTCTGTTCCTGGTTTGGCAATTTGGTTCTCATGATATAGTAAGACAGAAGATGAGAAGGAAAAAGCTCACACTAACACCTAATAAACAGTGAACATACTGCTAAGAGATGCTGTTGAAATTCTGACATATTTCGTCACAGATTAAACAAGATGACACAGATACATACGTTGACAATATTGTAACCCAGATAAGCTCCACGCAATCAACCCAAAGAAGCCTTTGTTCAACAGGTATCACACCATAGGTAATCACGTGAGCAAATGGCCAAAGTTTCCAACCTGCCTGTAATGTGTCAAGCGAATATCAACAATAAATCATGATTCATGTTTAGCATGGCATACCAATGGAAAAGGTAGGTAACTGCAAATTGATCAAACCTATGTACAAAACACAAAGTTGCAGTCAATAATCATGTTTCCAAATATTTCGAATGGACACACCTATTTTGCAGAATAATTCAGGTTCCTTACAGCTGTAAGAATCTTCAGAGCACATTGATGTTAGTGAATGCTCCAGCATACACAATTTTTTATTTTTCATTACCACCAAAAAGATACATTGATTATGAAAAAATACGACTGTTACTGCATTCACTGTTATAAGCAGTGGAAATCAATAACAACAATTTGCAGCATAGTGCATAGTTTCACAGGTGCTTTGTAAATTCAATCCTTTTTGAAGCCATTTTCTCTATGCTGATTTTATGGCCATTCAATCATTAAGACTATAACTCCTCCAATACATCAAACACGATATAGAAAGCTATGAGGCTGATTAAACTATCTGAAATTTTTGTTAAGATGAAATGCATAGCCTGATGGATGCCTGTGAGTATATTTATTATTGTTTTCTTAATACAATTTTGTGAGAAAAAGTGATCCTCTTTCTCTAGGTTTCTTTTTCTCTATGCTGATTTTAAGGCTATGATGAAGACATAAAACCTCCAATACATCAAGAAAAAGAGGTAGCAAGCTATGAGGTTGAATAAATCTGATTTTTTTGCTAAAAGAAAAGGTACCAAGAAAATCCATAAGACTTGTTAGCCATAGTTTACATTTGGAGTGGTTAATGAAAAAATAAGCAGCAAGAAAGAGATTTATGGTGAACTCAAACAAGGCCTACACAAAACTTCATTCCTAGGTGTTAGACATCCTAGTTTTTGCAAATTGCAATGCATAGCACAATTGATGACACATAAAATTTGCATAGAGAAAATCATAAGAAAAGCTTCTTAGTTCTTACAGTGAGCATAGGCCAGAATGTTGCCTTCAGTTCTCTAAAGATATTATCAAAGGATTCAAATCGCAAGAACCCCAAAGCCACATAATAGATACTATTCCAGATTGCTGCCCAAACTGTTTGGTCAAAGACTACTTTTGCTGGAACCACCCACCAGTCATCAAAAGGAAACAAATCCTGCAAGAAAAGTAACTCATTTTAGTTATCCATCAAAACTGAAAATCATAGCAGAGAAGTAAATAAACAATGATCTACAAATATTACCTCACAGAATTGGTAATAATAATGAGAAAGGGAACCATGCAGAGTAAATCCAACAAGGCCTGATCTGAACATGCGTGTGCGGTCGAAGTCAAAAAGAGGCTTTCCTTCATAACACTACACATAGGATACACTTTATGAGCTGAATGCGGTTTTATTCGACACCTTTGTCAAGTGGTGAAAGGGGAATAACTTACTTGTGCAATCCAATCTCCTATTGAATAAACAATCCCACTAATTGCCATTTTCGCTAAGACTGGGTTTGCTTTAAGAGCTTGTTCATATGCAATCCAATTATGTTCTGGAACATATCGGAGTACCTCATAAAGGGTCCATCCCTGAGAATCATTGAAGATGATCAACTGACTGCTGAAAGAAAAATACAATAACTAGCCGAATAATCAATCTCTAGAACTTCAAATTTCACTGCTTTTGATCATAAAGAGTCCTTCCATGTATATAAACAATCTTTATGCATGCTAAATTCTTATCAATGGTAAAGCTTGACCAATCTATACTATATATCTCTAAAATCTATCAGTATATCTTCTTCTTCTAAGAAAAGGTTAAATAAACACCTCAATGCCAAATTGCCAATTGAAGTAGAATGAAGAACTACAGAGATTACTCAACTCAAGCAAAGAAAGTAGCCAAACCGAATAATAGTATTGTCAAATCATATATGCTCTTCAGCAACCAATCTTGATTTTGTTCTAAATAAAACTGGAACTAAAAGAAATCAATATATGAAAATGAAAATATAGCAAACCCAGGAGATAACTTACATGCCAGTAATCATGATCAATAGTAAGCAACTTAGAGACGGCAAGGGTGCCGAATCCAAGAACAATAGAGGCATTGATTGCTCTGCTACTCAACTTCTCATCATCATCATTATCATCATTGTTACCACCACCGGCGTCAACTCTCTCTGAAGAAGAAGAAGAAGCTTCTAAAAAATTGGACCCATTTGGGAACGAAGGGTTCTTAGCTTCATCCGAATGGCTAATCTCGACGACGGGAGACAATTCTTTGTCCCCTGTGACAGTTCTGATGACCCAATTAATTGTCTTTTTAGACCGTAGCTTTAGAGGGTTTGTGCTGGTTTTGTTGCAATTGTACAAGGGGCGACTGGAGATCAGGAGAATAGGAGAGAGGAAGGGGCACTTGTTGGATATGGTGATGGGTTTAAAAGGTACTGAAGGTTTATGGCTTGCCATGCTGTTTAGAGTTGCCGCCATGGACGGGTCGGGGAAGGTTTCGCCGAGTACCAAAATTTTCAAATTTATGATTATTTTATCGGTTTAACTTAATCATTGAAAATAAAGCTTATTGCTTATACGTATAGTCTTATTAACGGGCAAAATGCTCAATTTGGGACCAAACGCTTGCCGTGATGCTTGATTTGGGATCAAACATTTCAATTTGAACAAAAAGAGACCAATTGTTTTCGGATTTGCTCAATGTGGGGTTTTTTTGGATGGAGAATCAGAGGTATTATACACGCGCCGTTAACATCCTACGTGGCCGTTAAGTCTTTAAAAGGTTTGATAATGTGTCATTCTTTCATTTGTTAAAAAAATAAAATAAGTAAATAATTTCTAAAAATTATTATTTTATTAATAATTTGTTAAATGGAGAAGGAAAAGTCAAAAACAAAAAAAAAAATAATAAGTTCTTAAATTTATTACTAATAATTTGTTAATTGAGAAAAAAAAATAAAGTTGTTAGTCATATTAGAAGGTGGCTAGGGTCTAGAGAAGTCATTGAACCCAACTTGATTTTTTAATTTTCTCTCTCATCATGAGAGTGTCTTTTCTCTCTCTTAAGAGTCTCTCTGAGTTTTTCTCTTGGATCTTTTCGTTTTCTTTCTTCTTCTATTTTCTCCATCTTTCCTGAGTCCTTTTTTCGTTTCTTCTTTTGGCTGTCTTTCTTTGTTTTCATCCCCTGTTTTCTTTCTTTGAGTCTGTCTCTATATTTTCTTCTTCTTCTGCGTCTCTTCTCTGTTTTCTTTTCTTAGGATAGGTGTGGATCTTAGGATTAGAGGGTCGTTTAGGTCTCTGTGTGTCTGCATTTCTTTGTCCTCTTAGAGCCCTAGGTTAGGATCGAAGGCGCCTAGTAACAGGACTGTAGAACGGTACTCCGTTTCCTCTTTCCCTTTTCCAGTTTGTCTTTTTTCCCTGCATTCCACTGTTATGGAGATTAACTTGGATTCTGATAGTGAATCTGTGAAGGAGGCAACTAAGTTCCTCCTTATCGGTAAAATCATCTCTGATAAACCGGTCAATCGCAAAGGTGCCATGGGTGTTCTTCGAAGTATTTGGGGGTTGAAGGAGGGACCGGTTATCACTGAGCTTGGTATGCAAATCTTTGGGTTGGCCTTTCATTCGAAAGATCAGATGGTTCAAGCTATGCTTGGGAGTCCATGGACAGTCATGGGTTTCTGTTTTATTCTTAAACGGTGGGAGATTGAAAAATCGATTTCTGAGATTTCCTTTGATAAAGTTCAGTATTGGGTTCAAGTCCATGATCTGCCCCTGGAAATGCAGACTGTGGTCAATCTCAAGAAGATTGGTGATTCCATCGAAAGAGTGATTACTCTAGAAAAGCCGGAGTGGATCCAAGGAGCTGGAAGGTGTTATATGCGGTTGCGATTGGAATTTGATGTGCATAAGCCTTTAACTCCTGGCTTCTGGGTTCCTCGCAAAGATAAGGCGAAACTATGGGTCAATTTGAAGTATGAGAAATTAGGTGATTTTTGCTTTGAATGTGGGAAGTTTGGTCATATGGCGAAGAACTGTGGAGAGTTGGTCTCAACTGGAAATAGAGATCATATGTTTGGGCCATGGATGAGAGCAGCTCCGGTGAGATCAGTTATGGAAGATCGTTTGATAAATGTTGAGGAGAAAGGAACCTTTGAGCTTCCCTATTATGGTCCTGTGCAGGAAAATGCCGGTATTCTCACTAGGAAGTGGCCGGAATCTCAATCCGGTGGAGTTTCTGAACTTGATGAAGATGAATATCGTGAATTCTGTGAACAGGTTAGTAAGTCGAGTAAGGCGGCGCGTGCGATTTATGTAGATAATCCTCTTGACAAGCGCGTGGAGATTTCTGGAGAGGCTAGTCAGGCGCGTGATCAGTTGGACGTTTCTGTTAGTAAAACGCGCTCAGTTGAGCGCGTCACTTTGGAAGGTGGTGTCTCTAGAATCGAGAATGCTCAAGTTGTTAGTAGTGGGATTTCCGTTTCTGCTGATTTGGATAAACGAACCAGTATAGCACACGTGGATAATCAGGTGGTTTCTGTTGATAAGGAACGAGTATCTGCTGTGAGCCAAGAAGGGTATAATCTGATGCAACCCCTTGTAAGGTCTGTCCCCTCTTTAGTTAATACAGAATCTTCCTCTGCTGAATTGCCCCCTTCTAATAATAATATCTTTAAGCCCATTATTTTCAATTCTAAGCCCATTAATATCTCTAAATCTACCTCTCACAACCTAGTCCAAAATAATAGCCCAAAAAAATCTTTTAACTCTAAAACAACACTTTCCCCCCTTAACTCTAAAAATCCCATTTCTCTTTCAGCTAATTCCCTATCTCTTGACCTCTCTCGCTCTCAGCTGAAATGTCCTCTCTCTGACATTTCTAATTCCTCTATCCACTCTCAAACTAAAATTACTCAGAAACCTTCCAAAAACTTTGTCATTTCCCTTAATTCTCTTTCTACTTCTAAACCATCTATTTCTTCAAGATCTTCTTCCCTTCCCGCCCTAAACTCTCCTCCTAGCCCTGTTCCTATTTCCATTCCATCTAATGAAGTAGCTTACATTGATAAGAATTTGGGGAGTGATAAGGAGAACTTAGAACCTGGGAACTCTAATGTGAACAACCGTTATGCTTCTACTTCTAACTATGAACAAGCTATTATCCCTACTGGTAAACCCCCTGGTTCACAAGAAGCTGCTCTGTTATCTGATCAACCAGCCGTATCTGAGGAGAGGGTCGAGTCTGCTGTCTTATATCAGGTTGAGATTGGGCTGTCAAGTTTTTTTAGGAATTTGAATCTTAAAAGAAGATTTAAGGATGCTATGTTGCAAGACCAGATTAATAGCAAAAAGATGTGGGTTGAAAGTGAAAGTGGCTTTACTATGAAGTATATCTCTAATGAAAGAAGTGTGGATGTAGAGATGGTTGCATCTCAGGATACTGAAGTGATATCTAGTGATAAAACCAATAGAGTTATTGTGAGTAGAAGAATGAGAAACAGAGCTGTATCTGTTGGTAATAGAAGACTTAAAGATGTTCATGTAAGTGCTGATGTGGCTTATCTGATGGCTATGCAAGCTTCCTTTGACAACTCTGATGGTTCTGGTGGCTGTCCTAGAACAGCCACCCAAGATATATGAGGCTGCTTTCATGGAACTGTCAGGGTGCGGGGCCAACCTTGACAGTCCAAGCTCTTAAGGAGCTAAATAGGAAGAATGGTCCCCAGATTCTCTTTATCATGGAAACTAAGAATAAGAGGAGGTATATGGAGAATCTGAGAAGGAAACTGAAGTTTAGTCATGGTTTTTATGTTGATCCGGAAGGTTTAAGCGGCGTACTAGCTTTATGGTGGAATGATGAAGTATCTGTTCATATTATTAGAGGCTGTAAAAATCTAATTGACTCTACTGTTACTGATCAGAAGAGTGGTATTGCTTGTCGCATTTTTTGGGTATATGGGCCTCCAGAGGCAAGTGACAGAGCTCGGTTTTGGCATTTAGTTCACAGGAGAATGGAAGAACAGAATACTCCTTGGTTATGTGTTGGGGATTTCAACGACATTCTATATCTCCATGAGAAGGAAGGCGGAAGTACTAAGGAGTATTGGAAGATCAGAAATTTCAGGGATATGGTAAATAAATGCAATCTCATTGATCTGCCTTTTCAAGGCCAAAAGTACACTTGGATTGGTAAGAGGGATGAAATGGTTATTAAGGAGAGGTTGGACAGAGTTTTGGTTAACATTGAGTGGATTGAGCAGTACCCTAACACTCAAGTCTTCAATAATCCTATTATTGGCTCGGATCGCCTATTCTAATCGACTCTTGTTTTAATGATCATAAATCTCCTCGGTTGTTTAAATTTGAGATCATGTGGACTGAGAATGAGCAATGTGAGCAAGTTATCAAGGATGGCTGGTCTAATGAATTTGTGGGATCTAAGTCTTTTATTTTGGTACAAAAACAGAAGAGTTGTAGAAGAGCTCTCTTGAACTGGAGTAAGAAGGCCTTCCTCAATAATAAGGAAGTTATTGAAAGCATCAAACAGAAAATTGCAGCTATCCAGGATAAAGCATGTTCTGCAGAAAGTTATATGAAGGTAGAAGAGCTTGTATCCCAACTTCAAGAAGCTTGGAGTAAGGAAGAACAGTATTGGTATCAAAGGTCTCGAATCAAATGGCTAAAAGATGGAGATGCCAACACCAAATTTTTTCAGCAAACCACCATTCAGAGGCGTCAGGTCAATAAAATTCTCAGTCTTAAATCTGATAATGATGAGTGGATTGAGGAGGAAAAGAAGATTGTTAAGAAATTCGAGCTCTTCTATACTGATCTCTTCACTTCCAATAATACTAAGAATTAGGATCAAGCACTTTTTCATGTGCCCAGAGTTGTTACTGATCAGATGAACAATGACCTTACAAGAGATATCTCTGAGGAAGAAATCCGAATTGCGACTTTCCAACTTGGAGCTACCAAAGCCCCTGGTCCTGACGGCTACAATGGCACTTTTTACCATAAGTATTGGGACATTGTGAAAGAGGCATTTTGTGGAGCTGTTACAAGTTTCTTCTCTTCTGGTCATATGCTTCATGAGATCAACAATACCAATATCATCCTTATCCCTAAAACCAAAAATCCTGAACTAGTAACCCAATTCAGACCCATTAGCCTGTGCAACTTTGTCTATAAAATCATCTCCAAAGTGCTAACCAATAGACTTAAACCCTTTATGGATTCTATCATTACCCAAGAACAAGGAGCTTTTGTTGGAGAGAGACAGATCCAAGACAATATCCTTATAGCCTCAGAGGCCTTCCATTATCTCAAGCTTAAGAAAAGGGGGAAGAATTATGATATGGGCTTGAAGCTGGACTTGAATAAAGCATATGATAGAGTGGAGTGGGGTTTCTTGGAGGTAACTCTGGAAAAGCTTGGCTTTTGTCAAAAATGGATTAAGTGGATTATGGAGTGTCTTTCTACGGTCTCCTATACACTTGTTATCAATGGTAAGCCTTCTGGTAGAGTAACTCCTAGTAGAGGTCTTAGGCAATGGGACCCTATTTCCCCATATCTGTTCCTTTTTGTTGTTGATGTCTTGTCTAGAATGGTCCACTCAACTGTGTCTGTCGGTGTCCTCCATGGAAACATTTTGAGTAGGAATTGCCCCCCTCTAACCCACCTGCTATTTGCAGACGATTCTCTCTTTTTCTTACAGCTACAAAGGAGAATTGTGATGGCATGGCATGGATTCTCAAAGCCTATTGTGAGGCCTCAGGGCAGCTTGTCAATCTGCAGAAATCTAGCATAATCTTCAGCAATAACACTCCAGCTCTAATCAGGAACCAAGTTGAAAGCTCTCTTCAGATTGCGGGTGCCACCAATCCTGGCACATATTTGGGTGTGCCTAACTTTTGGGGTAAATCTAAATGTCAGGCCATGAAGTTTATTCAGGAAAGGATTCGGGATAAGCTGCAAGGATGGAGGCAATGTCTTCTATCAAAAGGGGGTAAGGAAGTCCTAATCAAATCTGTTGCTAGTGCCCTGCCCACATATATCATGTCCGTCTTTAAACTGCCTAAAAAGCTATGTGGGGAAATCAATTCTGATATGGCTAATTTTTGGTAGGGGCAAGGTGAAGAGAGTAGTAAAATTCATTGGCTAAGCTGTGAAAAGCTGACTAATGGGAAGGAGAAGGGAGGCATTGGATTTAGAAATTTAGAAGATTTTAACAGGGCTCTTCTAGCATAGCAAGGGTGGAGGATTTTAACTCAACCCAATGCCCTTTGGGTTAAAATTCTCAAAGCACTTTATTTTAAGGACTGTGATTTTATGGAAGCTCGCAAAGGGGCACGAGCCTCATGGTCTTGGGATAGCATCCTTGAAGGAAGGAAGATTCTGCAGGAACATATAAGGTGGCAAATCCTTAATGGAGAAAAAGTTGATATTTGGAAGGACAGATGGGTCCCAGAGCATGATATCCTTAAACAGAATGGTGAGCCTATTGGAGGAAATCTTCCACAAAAAGTAGCAGAGATTATGGACAAGGATGAAAGGCTATGGAAGCTTGAAGCTATTAAGGATGAGTTCAACCCCAATGTCCTTAACAATATTGAGAAGCTTCCCATTTGTCACAGCACAGAGGAGGATCGTGTAGTCTGGCCTTACAACAAGGATAGCTCTTATTCTGTGAAATCAGGTTATTTTGCAATTAAAAGTCAAGTCCCAAGAATCTTGTCCTCTTCTTCCTCTTCGCATCAGGTTAGTAATCAAACTTGAAGCTCATTTGGAATCTGCCTGTCCCTAACAAGATTAGAGATTTCTTGTGGCGAGCCTGCTCTAATAGTTTAGCTACTCTCTTTAACCTTTGGAAAAGGAAGTGTTGTGTGTCTCCCATATGTCCTCTATGTTTAATGAAAAAAGAATCTATTGAACATCTTTTTCTGGAGTGTGACTAGGTTCAGTGTGTGTGGTTTGGATCCTGCCTGAATTATAAGATTGATAGGAACAAGATTACTACCTTTGATATTTGGCTCCATGAGGTTCTTACTATGAAGGGTGTTAGAGATTCAATCAGAATTGAGTTGCAGGCTAGAGTTGCTTTTATTTGCTGGCAGATTTAGAAGGCCCGATGTGCTGCATGTTTTGAGAAGAAAGGGTTTTGTGCTGAACAAGTTATTTTTGTAGCAGAAAAAGCAGTCATTGAATTCCAAAAAGCCAAAGAATATAAAAGTATAGCAGATAAAGTTTTTAAAAAGGAAAATGATTTGACTTCCTGAAAGAGCCCAGCTGTTGGCCATTTGAAAATTAATTGCGACGGGGCCTTTGATGAAGACACAGGTGCGGCAGCCTTTAGAGTCATTGTGAGAGATTGTAATGGTCGTATCATTGACGGTATAGCTAAGTCTCTTCTGGTCTCCTCCTGTGTAGAGGCTGAAGCTATAGCCATTAAGGAAGCCCTTAATCTTGCTCAAGATCGCAAGTTTGACTCTATTACTGTTGAAACTGATTCTGAGGTTGTGCTGCGTAGTATTCAAAGTTTTCCAAAGGACCGTGTTCATGATTGGAGAATCCTTCCTACTGTCAAAGACATTAAAGAATCTCTAGACTCTTTTGCATCGGTGGAGCTATCCTGGATTGGTAGAAAAGCAAACTTGGCAGCCAATTGGGTTGCGACTTCTATGAGGAAAGGGATGTGCCCTCTTGACTAGGTTTCTCAACCCCCATCCCAACTACTCCATATCTGTGATAAGGATGGAGTTCCTGCCCCCCCTTAGTTTTCTTTTATTGTCAAAGAGCTTTGAGATTCTGTTTCTTCTCATTTCTAGTTCTTTGATTCTTTTGTAATGACTTTCCTACTATTTCTATAATATGATCTGATCTGTTGTTATGGCAAAAAAAAAAAGTCATATTAGTTAGAAGTAAAAAGATGAACACTAACATTTCGGTCAATCAAATTATATATGGATTAGTTAAAACCATATTTAACATTTCGGCCAAATTAAATATGGATTAGTCAAATTATATCTTCCACTCTCCCACCTTTCCAACGTGAAATGGTCGGATTGAAGCAAACCCAGAACCCGACAAGAGCTCTGCCGCTCGCCACCGCATAAACCATCGTTTGAGTTTCGACAGCCCCTCAGAGTTACGCAAAAACAGTCTTCTCAACATCCCCTAGTCCAATCTTTGTTTCCTAAGATCCTTAATGGAAAAACCAAGACCCACACAACCAACTTATCATCCTCTGAGACTTTCCCAGGTGCCAACAGCCACAACTATGCATCAATCGGTGCCATTTTCTCTAAATTCCTAGCTGCCATTTCCCCTCTCTTTATGCCCTTCTTATTATTTATGTAACAAAGCCAAAGACAAAGACAACAATTCCCAACTAAATTGTCTTTTATTTTAATACTATTCTATGAATCAATGAAAGCTAGGGAGGGAAAAAAGGGTAAAAAGAAAAAAGGACAATTTATCTTAGCAACAATTATGGATCAAATTATGATTAAAATAAGTTTTGTAGTAGCAATGATGAGACCCACAAAACCCAAACCAGAAAATTATTAATTAAATCCCAAAAAGAAGTAAATTGAGAAGGAGTTGGAAAATGAAGTGAATTCCGTGATACCCAGATGAAGAAATCGCTAGAAAAATACAGGTGAAAAACAAAAAGAAAGAGAAACCATGGGTAACTTAAACAAGAGAAAGTGAAACCAAAGATTAAATCACGAGAGAGACAGAGATACAGACAACAAGGAACACCCAGACAAGTGAGCAAAAGGAACTTGTTTGGAGCCAAAAGATGGGTTTCGGTGAAGAAAACCGAGGTGGGTTTTCATGGGAAAGAGAGGACAGACAGCGTTGGGAGAGGGGTAAGTCGGTTTGAAAAAAAAAAGGCTCAGTTTTGAAGAACAAAAAAGAAGAGAAAGGAAATAAGAAAAGAGAAAGAAGAGAGAAAAGGGGCCTGGGGATGGCGATGTTGGAGCTGATGGGGCTATGGAAGCAAAGGGGGCAAGCTGCAGCGTGTGTTAGGGTTTGGATAGTGAAGAAGAAGAAGATAAGGGAAGGGACTAAATAAATAAATAATTATTATTTAAATAAATAAATTATTTACTATTTTTTTAAAAATTCTAAATTAAATTAATATAGTTTTTAAATTTTAAAAAATGTTAAATTTCATGCCAAAATCATAACTAGCGCGTGTGTTGCACTGCCTGAATTCTGTCCAAAAAAGCCCCACATTGAGCAGATCCGAACACGTTTGATCCCTTTTTGTTCAAATTGAAACTTTTGACCCCAAATCGAGTATCGCAGCAAACGTTTGGTCCCAAATTGAGCATTTTGCCCTTATTAATGTAGTGTACCGTAACCAATTACTGCTAATCCTTTGGCATAATCCTCATTTTCTCCTTAACCTTTTACATGTAACTTTTAATTTGAATTTTTTACTAGTAACAATCAAAATGGGACAATCCTACTGCAGACTCAAATTATTAAATTCTGAACTGCAGACTCAAATTATTAAATTTTGAACAATCCTACTCCAGACTCAAATTATTAAATTTTGAATAATCATACACTAGACTTTTAATTTGAAACTTTCACCGTTACATTTGATCCTAATATAATCTTATTATGTATTCCATTTCAATATAATTTCATGAATAGTTAAAAAAAAATAAAAAAATGAATAGTTAAAAAAAGAAAAATACTAGGGAGTATTATAAAATATATCTATCACTATCAAATCTGATAAGTAGGTTTCTACGGGCGAGAGTGATGGAGAGAATTATTAGTGTGTACACAAACTAGAAGGACGTAGCATTCCCAAATTTTTCCAAGAGGCGTGCTAGCCTGGGATTTTAAAACTTCAGTCAACTGAACTTGAGGCTTCCGTGGAAGATTTCCGTCCAAGAAGAACAAAAACAGTTTGAAGAAAAACTTTTTACTCCTTACTCGAGAACATGTGTTCCGAAATGAAAGCAAGCAGCGACACCGACACCAATCGTGGGATTGGGTTGACATATAGTCAGACACCGACCTGTTATAAGGTTCTGTTATTTTCTTAATTCTCATTTCTCACCTCCCTTTTATTGGACGCTGCCTCGCAAATGTATAAACCAAATATGTAAATAGAAAATAAAAAATAATAGGAGAGAAAAAGGTCCCACCGAGATTTGAACTCGGGTTACTGGATTCAGAGTCCAATGTCCTGACCACTAGACCATGGGACCTTACGTGTTCGTATTCTCAAAACATTTTTATGACCGATTCAAAATCAGCAAACAATACAACACTTCACATTCATCACCAGCGCGCTTCTTCCGGGTTCATTCACAACAGTCAGCACCCAAAAACCCTGATGAGAAGAACCCTGTTGAAATCTCCTCCTTTCTCTTTATCCCGTCTCCAATCTCCACTCCTCTCCACTACTCCCTACAGAAATGTCGACTCACCGCCAATACCTCCTAAATTGTTCTCCAACTCAATCTCCATTTCCTCCTCCAGGTTCGTATTCACTCCTGCTTATCCTCCTCCTCCCGAGTGGATGGACCCCGTCATCAACATCTCTGGTTTAGCCTCCACGAATCCTAAAGACTTGCAGCCATCCCCTTGGGTAAGCCAAATTCTCAATCTTTTAGATGGTTCTTCTGACATGGAGTCAAATTTGGACTCCTTTTGTCACAAATTCTTGATCAAGTTGTCTCCAACTTTTGTTGCTTTTATTTTATCATCTGCTGAGGTTCAGAACAAGCCTGATGTTGCTTTCAGGTTCTTTAATTGGGCTGCTAAGCAAAACAAATATACCCATATGTTGGAATGTTATGTTTCTTTGATAAATGTTGTAGCTTCAGCAAATGATTTGGAAAAGCTCAAATTTTTATTTGCTCAACTTAAAGAAATGGGTTTTGAAATGACAATGTCGGCAGCAAATTCCTTGATTAGGAGCTTTGGGGGTCTTGGGATGGTTGAGGAGTTATTATGGGTCTGGCGAAGAATGAAAGAGAATGGGATTGAACCTAGTTTATATACATTTAATTTTTTGCTTAATGGCTTGGTGAATTCCATGTTTATCGAATCTGCTGAGCACATTTTCGAGGTTATGGAGAACGGTAAAATTAGACCAGATATAGTGAGTTATAATACCATGATTAAAGGTTATTGTAAGGCAGGAAAAACCCAGAAAGCAATGGAAAAGTTACGAGCCATGGAGACAATAAATTTGGTGCCGGATAAGATTACTTATATGACATTGATTCAGGCATGTTATTCAGAGGGGAACTTTGATTCTTGTTTGAGTTTGTATCATGAAATGAGGGAGAAGGGATGTGAAGTTCCACCTCATGCTTATAGCTTAATTGTTGGAGGACTTTGTAAGGAAGGGAAGTGTTTTGAAGGCATTGCTGTTTTTGATAATATGATTCAGAATGGTTGTAAAGCAAATGTGGTGATTTATACAACTTTGATAGATGCGTTTGCAAAATGTGGACGGATGGAAGAGGCATTGAAGCTCTTTGAGAGGATGAAAAGTGATGGGCTTGAACCAGATGAGGTTTCATATGGGGCCATTGTTAATGGTTTGTGTAAGACTGGAAGATTAGAAGAGGCCATGGAGTATCTCAGGTTTTGTAGAGCTAATGAAGTGGCAGTTAATGCCATGTTTTATTCTAGTCTCATTGATGGGTTGGGCAAGGCCGGTAGAATTAATGAAGCTCAGAAACTTTTTGAAGAGATGGTTGAGAAAGGTTGCCCACGGGATTCATATTGTTACAATGCTCTTATTGATGCCCTTGCAAAGTGTGGGAGGGTCAATGAAGCATTGACACTCTTTAATAGGATGGAAGATGAAGGATGTGATCAGACAGTTTATACATACACAATACTCATCAGTGGACTGTTCAGGGAGCATAAAAATGAAGAGGCAATGAAGCTATGGGATATGATGATCGATAAAGGTATCACACCAACCGCAGCATCTTTTAGGGCTCTCTCTTTTGGCCTTTGTCTATCAGGAAAGGTAAACAGGGCCTGCAAGATTTTGGATGATCTAGCACCAATGGGTGTTATTCCTGAGACGGCTTTTGAAGATATGATCCATGTGCTGTGCAAAGCAGGCCGTGTCAAGGAGGCCTGCAAGTTGGCTGATGGTATAGTTGATAGGGGTAGAGAAATACCTGGAAGAATCCGAACTGTTTTAATCAATGCCTTGAGAAAAGCAGGCAATGCAGATTTGGCCATGAAGTTGATGCATAGTAAGATTGGTATAGGTTATGATAGAATGGGTAGCATTAAAAGGCGAGTTAAATTCCGGATTCTTGTTGAATGTTGAGTAAGCTCTGTGCCTTTGTTTCTTATCATGTAATAAATAGGTGCTGTGATTTATTATCTATCCTCACAGAGCTGCATATGCTTCATCCTTGTTTTTCACATAAATCAGTTTAAGAAAAGTCTCACTACAATGACCTGAAACATAGTAAGAAGAATCAGTTGTCTGTGCTTTAAGTAGTTAGCAGACCAGTAATCAATTCAGCCGCTAGGAACATGCATCGTATAATGCTGCCAATTTTTGAGCATGCATCCAAGGTATGTACTTGGTCACTCCTTTAAAACTAGTCTTTCAGAATTTCTAGGTAGATAATATTCTGATAAACACAACAGCACCACTTTACCAAACTGCTATAGATGCTCTTCTGACAAGATTTAGAAA